GCGGGCAGCAGCGCGGCGCCGGCCGCCCGCAAGAGCGCGGGGTCCCGCGCGAACCAGCCGACCGTGTCGAAGCTCGGCGCCAGCGGGCGGGCGCCTGTGAGGGGGATGCGGCCGTGGGTCGGGCGGACGCCCCACAGCCCGCAGTACGACGCCGGCACGCGCACGCTGCCGCCGGTGTCGCTGCCGAGGCCCAGGTCCGCCTGGCCGGCCGCAACGGCCGCCTGGCAGTGTCAGGCGGGATTGGGCGGGGGCAGTGGGAGGATTCGAGCGTTCCTTGTCCAACGGCCGACTAAATATGTCAGCTGCGCAAAGCAGCAACGCCGCAGTGTGACGTCACACCACGGCCACCGCCGGCGCCGCTGCGAACTGGCTCGTCCCCGCCGCACCAAAGAGGCTGCTCCGTCTCGCGCCGGCGCACGCTCCTCCCCGAAAGCTGAGCGTGAGGCCCCCTTGTGCATCCGAGCCCCGCCCACGCACCCCGCGGCGACCCCCTCCCCCCGCTGCCCCACCGCAGAGCCACTAGAGGAGCCCCCAGGGATCCTGCCAGGCGCCGCCGCGTTGACGGGGGTGCCGTAATGGAAGTTCTCGCCATTTAGTGAGTAGGCCAGCTCGTCCATGTGCGTCTTGCCTGTGGAAAAAGAGGCGAGGGTTGGGGGAGGTGGCGGTGCGTGGCGAGGTGGCGCGGGGGCTCAAAACACATGTTGAAAGGCAGGGGATTAGGGCTGGTAAGGAGAGGGGAGGTCGAGGTGTAAGATGGGGGGCCAATAAACTGCAGGCGGCCGCAGGTGCGAGCTCTCGGCGGGCGGAGGAATGTGGAGACGACGCGACCCCACCGGCCGCAGACAAGTCGAGGCGATTCCCCCCGCGCGCGCGCGAGCTCCAGCGGCGTCGTCGCCGGGTGGCGTCGCCGCCTGATGCAGGCGGCGGCGCGCCTGATCCGGTGTTTCGCGGCCGCGAGCTCACCCACAATCAGGGCACCGGCATCCAGCAGCGCCTGCACCGCCGGCGCCGTGGCCGCGGCCGGCTCCGCGTGCGTCTCCAGCCACTTGGGGTTTCCAAAGGCGGTGGGGTACCCCTTTATGCTGCGCGGGGGGGGGGGGAGGAATCAGGCCTAGGCGCTCGCCTCTGCTTACCGGCGGGGCGGTCCCCGTGTGCAATGCAACAAGGGACGGGGAACGGTCGCAGCGCGGGGCGGGCGCCGCGGGCTCCAGGGGCCTCTAGGGGCCACTTTGGGCTGCTCCTTGCACGGCCCTCAGCTTTCTGAAACACACAGGATGTTTCGGCAGCAGCGAGCCACGTGCAGCCAGCGCCCCACACAGCTGTGGCGAGAGCAGCACCTCCACAGCCAGCAGTGCGGGCAGCGGCACACCCTCACACGCGCAACGCCGGCGTTGCGGCCGTCTGCTCCTGCCGCCCGGGAAACTACGCAGCCACACGATCACACAGCTAGCCACCCGTCACTCGGGCCGTAGAGTGCCTGACCTGGGGTCACTCACTCGAACAGGTCTTTGACAGCCAGAGTCACCCCGGTGAGGGGCCCGTGCAAGCCGCCCGTCAGCTCAAATTGGAGGATGAACGAGTCCGTAGGGTCATGCTTCTCATGCACTACGGTGCAAGGGGGGCGGCCGGCGCGCACGGTGGGATGGCAAGCCTGCAGCTCGCACGTGGGTGCCTTGCACATGGGCGGCGCGAGCGCCCGCAAGGGCGCCCGCCTGCCTGTGACCTCTTCTAGCCAGCGACCGATCCAGGAGACCCACAAAAGCTCTCAGTACAATCAATTTTCCGTGATAAATGAGTTCTCATGGCAATGGTCGTGCTCTGCACGCTGCACAAGGCCGCGCCAGTCGTCACCTGCCGCGGGCACCATGGTTGCCCTGCGCTGAGATATGCTATTGAATTTACGGCTGAATCGCTTCTGAATGATCGGGCACTGGCAAACAGGGGTGAAGCGCAGGCTTTGCATGATCAGCGATCTCATCCAAACGCAAATCTAGTAGGGGTCAACAGAAAGTGGCGCTGAGATCCGGACACCATGGGACCAGAGCTGTGCCACGAGGTACACCTGGCATGCCAGTGACGCACGCCGGCGAGCGGTGACGTGAGCAAGAACACTCCTCCTCTTATCTTCTCGTGTAGTCTGTGTCTGTGAAGATGCCTGCCTCAGCGCCAATCCACGCAGAAACCAGCAAACGCGCACTGCTACTCGGCAAGCTGCACCTGAGCATCTGTTGACCATGGTGGTGCAGGGTTGCGTTGACCAGGGCCCGCCGCAACAGCGGGTCACCAACGCCCCCTGAAACCAATACGACTTTCTTGTCAGGAGATCTGTCTGGTTTGTTTAATGGTGAGCATAATGGTGAGCATAACTTTGTTACACGCGCTTGGCCAGGAGCACGCCCGACAGCCGCATCAAACGCCGCAAGGGACAACCTCAAGAGCAATCGGACAATCCAAAAACACTGTTCTTGCCTGAGGCGATTGCGAAAATCAAGCCACCACAAAAAGACAATTCTTTCCTGGACCACCTGGCACACGCAAATAACGTATCTTGCTTCAAGGTTTGCCAAAGTATCTTGCTTCAAGGCGTCACGCTGCTGCGTTGCCTCCGAATCAGTTGCTGCCCACTCGCGAGCGGCGCGCACGCCCCAACATCATCCCTTGCCCTCCCATCCGGCCACCAGCAACCCTTTGTATGTGTGGTCAAGCCCACAGGTAGGTATTCAAGCACGTGATGCTGTCAAAGGAAGTGTACGGCATGCAATGAGACCCAGATACGTAAGCGCATCAGTTATGTCGAACATGATGCCGAGCAGGGCAGTGACTGGGATTAAAGCCCTGCCCAAGTACAAGCAGCACAGTCGCGAATCGTCAGCTGCAGCAAACACCACAGGAGGGGAGCATAAGGGGGGTCGCAGATGTGTGTGCGACTGCACTGTGGGGGTGCGTGGCTGCCCCAGCCGCGATTTGAGGATGATGTTTGTGGTGCGCTGCCGCCAGTGCCGTGGCACGTCAGGCGCTAACAGCCGCGATGGCGCTTTACTTGGACAATTGCCGGAAAGCAGCACAGGGCAGCGCCGTCACGGCCGACAAGAGGGGGTGCGCCGCGCAGTTGCGGAATGTGGAGGCGTGCAAAACAGCCGGCAGCAGCCCTTGCGAGCACGAGTGCCCGCTTGGTAGCTAACGCCAGAGCTGGCGAGCAACTGCGCAGGGCCGCCCACTGAGCGGGCTGCCAGGGCTTATGAAGATACAATGGGTGGAGGAAGTACCTCACACTCGGTGCCCGGTTGCGTACACCCTCTTTGATACCAATCGATAGGGGGTGTGCAGGGGCGCACGCCGCTGATACCAAGAGACGATCCCCCAAGAACGGATGTGCTGCACAACAATACTAGTGGAACATCCATCCGCGTGGAGGGCGCTGCGGCGCAAAAGGGCGGTCGGCTGCACGGGGCACCCAAGTCTTGGCAGCAAAAGTGGGGAGTGGATTTCCGCTCTCAATCATTTCTGCTCTCGTTTGCGCACGCCGCACGTGCCCTGCGAGAGGCGCCGGCGCCGGGGCCCCTCGCGCGCTCAAGGGGGCGGCGGTGGCGCGTCGAGCAGCCGGAAGGGGCGCGGCGCGCCGCCGGGCGCCCACATCTCAGTGTCAGATGCGTTCAGGAAGTCGACTGCGACAAGGTACAGCGCCACCGAGCAACCGCCGCCGCCGCCGCCGCCGCTGCAGTCTTTGATTGCGCCGCCATTACTGGGGGCAGCGGGCGCGGCCGCGTCGGCGGTGCAAGCTCCGTTGGGGCCGGGGCAGGGGACGAAGCACGCCCTGAGGTGGACGGCCCCGCCCAAGCGGTGCGTCACGGCGCTGATCTCGAACGCCGCGCGCGTGCGCGCCGCGGCGGCGCAGCGCGCGGCCTCCGCCGGCGGCGTGCCCAGGAGGTGCCACAGGCCCTCGGCGGCAGCCGCACCGCAGGGTTCCGCGCCGGTGAACTTCGAAAACAGGTGGTCGGACAGCAGCAACGGGCAGCCCGCCGCAGCCGCGTCGACGAGCGCTGTGCCCGCG